TATTTTGGCTTAACCTAGTGCACTTCAACCCAAAAAAAAAAAAAAAGACACTTGACTAGTAAATGCAAACTATGTATTTTTGTTGACTATAATGCAGGTTAATGATCGTGGAGAAAAAAAATGCTGAGAATAAAGGTCTTTCAAAAGCTTGTTTGATAGCAGGAAAAGTCAAGCAAATCCCAGACGGAGGAAAGCAAACACCAAGCAAAACTTGTTTGGACTCATGTCGCTGTCATTTGCTTAAAAGGTTCCAGTGTATTTGCTCTGATTCACGATTGTTTGAGTCCGTCGGTCTTAATGTGCGCTGTTAAATGCCGCCTCTCTAATTGCCTGTTAAATCGTCCTTCCCGCTCCCTGCCCGACACCTCACCGGAATACTCAAACATGCTCCCGTCTTTAGCCCTCCTGGCCCACCAGCCTTCCGTGTGTCGCTCTTCCGCTCAGGCGGCACTTTTTTTTTTATGTAAATCATCATAGTGTTTAAAAAAGGCGGGGGCCGGGGGGGAGTACCGAATCAGCAGTCGGTTCTGTGAGGGCGCAGAGGGAATGATATTCTGAATAGAGATTTGGTGCGATTCATTGCCTTAGCTTTTAAATGCTATTTTCAATGTCTGCGCGGGAGCATGTTTCGGTCCCAGAATGCATTTCTGCTCTCTTGACATGCTTACGAATTATTTGTGATGACGGCACATGACGAGTAAAAATGTGGAATATTGTGTACCACCATCTGTGAGATGAGGAAGAGTGGGATTATTATTATTTTTTCCAATTTTTCTACTGTGCTCCACTAATATTGTTTGCATAGAGCACAGAGAAAACACGCCTGAGAGTGCCTGTATGCTATTTGTATGTGCTGCTTCTCCATAGTTCTTAAAATAGCAGCATTTAAAATCAGCTAATTCCGATGATTTGACTCTTGGGTTGTTAGCATGAAGCTAGTGGACTTTTTGTTAAATCAAATGATAGTTTGGTTGAACTATTTGTTTGTTGTTTGTTTGTTTGTTTTTTTTTATGCAGTAGGCCCAGTTTTAGGTGTCAGATTTCCAGGAAACTTTAACTTGGAGTGACCAGTAACTTGAAGCAAGCACACTGCGCCTCTTAATTGGGGAACTCTGCAAGTGAAAGTCTTCTCTCACTCTCCTCAAAGTGATGTTATGTGCTAGTCTTTCATTTTTGGATGGGGAGAGAGTGAAAACGGGCATTAATGAATGCTCTAAAAAGTGTGCTTTGGAAGTGTGTGGGAGGAATAAGTTGCTGTTTTGTTTTTTTTGTTTTTTTTGGGGGGGGTAGCTACTAACACAAGCACTGCAGTGGTAAGCATAGCCTGAATGGGAAACGAAACAAGTAGCGATTCGCTCGTGCACAGACGGGTGCAGACTTGACACGGTTCCACACCAGGCCCTTTGTAGCTTTTAATTCCGACGCTCTTTTGGGCTTGACTGTCTCTCGCAGGCCTGGAGGAGACTAATAAAGCCTCTGAGAGAGAAAGAGAGAGAGAGAGAGACAGTCTGACGCAGCGTACTAAGCAACAGCAGGCTTCTCCGCAGCTCAAAGCTGTTTCGTACTGTAAATGTGTGGGTGTGGGTGTGTGTGTGTTGAGACAAAACGCGTCTCACATCCAAGCACACTCGGTACATTCTGGGCTTTCTAGACGCTAACGCGTGTCACTTTTGATTCGTTTCTTAAATTGAAGGTGCTGAGCTCGCTAGCATTTTCACCAAACGTACGATATTGAAATTGTGTTCTTGAAGTCCTTTATGTGCCATTTACACTTCGTTGCCGCTAATTTGAACACAAGTGCTTCCACTTGAGGGGAGAAAAAAAAAACCGACCCGTTTGTCAAATCCCGCATGTAAATACAATCCCTAATGAATGTAAACGTTCAGCAATATAAAATGGCAAAATGAGCCGTCACACTGCATGCTCGAGCCGGTCCATTATGTGTGTCGCCGCGCTTCCAACAAGTGGATAAATCGCCGCTTTTTGCAACGAACAAATGGGCGTTGCGTCTTCGGTAATGTTCAGCGCCATTGACTCCGTGATTGCCTTTTTTTTTTTTTTTTTTTTTTTTTTTTTCCCTTTCTACCCATACACGTAACAATGCGACCACGATTGCGCTCGTTCTGTCTGTTTCTGGGCGGGATTTAAAGCGTGGAGGCCCCTTTTTGCAACGAACAAATGGGCGTTGCGTCTTCGGTAATGTTCAGCGCCATCGACTCCGTGATTGCCTTTTTTTTTTTCTTTTTTCCCTTTCTACCCATACACATAACAATGCGACCACGATTGCGCACGTTCTGTCTGTTCCTGGGCGGGATTTAAAGAGTGGAAGAGAAATGAGCAAATTTAGATTAATGCCATATTTTTTTCTGTGAAACTGGAACATTTTTTCCCGCCATAGCACAGTGGTTGGTTGTCACTGAGAAGGACGTGGTCATAAATGCGATGTTCACTTTCCATGCTTTCTGATTAGAAGGTCAGCTCAAAGTGCATCCAAACAATAAAGAGGAAAAGGAGAGTGTGGATGAAAAGTAAAAGCGACAGCCGTGATTCAGGTCAGAGAATGTGGAGCAGGAGACACGCAGGACATTTTTAAAGCCTGGCAGAGAATTGATGAAAAAAGAAAAAAGTGCGGCCTACTTTTTGTATTCCTCTGGAAGTTGGACGGTGGCGGCGTGGTGTTTTGCCCTGCGGCGAGTCTTTGGAGAGGCGACGTTTGAAGGTCGTGAAAGAGGCGGGAAGTAATGAACGGGAGCGCTTGCGGTGTTGCGCCGCGTCTAAGTATGTGCTGGAGCACGGGGGAGCCGAGTGCATCGCAAAGGTCAATGCAGCACTCATACCAGCCGTTCCCGTGGTGCGTCACAAAAGACCATTTCCAAACGCCGTTTTGAGACCGCGCGTCGGATATTTTGAAGAGACGTGGCCGTAAAAACTCCGAGCGGTGAATATCTCCAATAAATGCACTAAAAACATTGTCTCAAGCTGCCAGAAAGCATTTTAGAGTTTATTGCAGTCTGTTAGAATCATCAACATTGACAAATGATGTAAAAACACACGAGGAATTTATCTCTGGTAGTATAAGCTCCACTCGTATTACAGTAACAAGCAACTCTGACAAAGATGTGACATGTAAGCACAGACAGCGTACACTGACAAATCGTCATGCCATTTAAAGTGACCAGCCGCACAGTAAATGTAATCCAACTTTGTATGAGTAGTCCTTGATCGGCGACAGAAACTAAAATGGTCAATACCGTTACGCCGCGATGTGCAAAAAAAAATGGAATTTGGAGTCACTCGTTTTGGGTCACGAAGGCAAGAGGGAAGACGCCATTCGCATTCAGTGCACATTGTTCGAGAGCGCCTGCCCGAAGGAAGCAACTGGAAGAGGTGGTGACCAGGATGTGGAGGGTCCGAGAGACTTTTCCCTTGCCCTGTTCTTGCAACCGATAATGCCTCTTCTTCTGAGCTAACATGACGACCGCGTGCTTCTTGTTCATTTTCGAAAGGAAGCTCTCGGTATGATCATCTCACTGGTGAACTCGTATAAACCTCGACATCGTCCCTAAAGTCACCCCGAGCATCACTCGCACTTCCTCATCAGACGCCATTCACATTCAGTGCGCATTGTGCGAGAGCACCTGCCTGATGGAAGGAGCTGGAAGAGGTGGTGACCAGGATGTGGAGGGTCCGAGAGACTTTTCCCTGCCCTGTTCTTGCAACCGAAAATACCTCTTCTTCTGAGCTAATATGATGACGCGTGCTTCTTGTTCATTTTCGAAAGAAAGCTTTCAGTATGACCATCTCACGGGTGAACTCTTACAAACCTCAACATCGTCCTTAAACTGACCCCGAGCATCACTCGCACTTCCTCATCATGTTGTTCATTACCCCCAGTGGATGTTTCCACATGGGGGCATCCAGGTGTGAAATGTGATGATCAACAAGTTTTTCCTAATGATCGCAGTCTCTCCTCTAGCTCGGCAGCCCGTCTGGTTGTAATTCATTTGCTTATTAAAGCTGCTTTGGCACGCGCCGTGATAGCCTTGGACGCGGGCGTGTATAAATTATTCTTCTGCGCGTCCCTGCGAGTGTTTTTATTCCACCCTGCAGTGTGCTCCATGTGTTATTAAAGGCATTAATCACCGGGCTCTGACGCCTTGTTACACACTCGCACACTCACAACGGGGTAATTTGGCATCAACAGTGCAACCGAGTATCCGGAAAGCCCGTAGAAGATGATGTCAGGAAGTCATTTGAATGCTATTTGGTTGAAATCCGACCATCTCGATTTTTTTTTTTTTTTTTTTTGAAAGCAGATTCCAATATTTAGCATTGAATAAAGAAAAACTCACATGCAACAGAACACAAAGAGATGAATTTACCTCGATTTAGGCCATTAATGTATGCAGTACAAAAGGGGGCCGGCTCCGACGTAGATACTTTTATGTCATCACAACCCAAAGAGCAAAACGTGCAAGCAATAGTTGATGTTGCGTCTCCGCGGGCGTTTCCACTCTGCTGTTGACAAGCGGCCTCTTGAGCTTTGCCGCCTGACTCGTCTTTTACTCGTCTTTTTTTTTTTTTTTGCTGGTCCTTCACACACCCTGCAGTGTGTGTGTGCTGCCTTCTCTGGGGAAACACACGCCCGCAAGACAACGACCGCCTCACACTAGTGTTTATATTTGATGACAGATGGATGCTGACAGGATACATGACTTCTCTCAGGACTTGGGAGTACAGTCGAAGCTCCAGGCTTGAAGACGATCTTTGCTGACCACTGCGGTTTTCACTGTAGAAAGTAGCGGACGTAATACGTGCAAGGGTCAAACTACAGCCATGGAAAGGAAGCGAGGCTAATTTGTCTTTGGTTTAGAGTCGGGGCTTGGCATTCACAGTAAAGTGATGTTGGGCTTTAGGATTCAGTTGCCAGTTGATGTAAAAATGTACAAGTTTCACTCTGCCTGCCTCGAAGAATGAACGTCCATCCTTGTCACCCGCAGGTTTTCCGCAGAAAAGCGGTGGAGCTGGGTGAAAAACTGCTCCCGGCCTTTAAAACGCCCACCGGAATCCCCTGGGCTTTGCTCAACCTCAAGAGGTAAGCCACCAACTGTCCAAAGACCCGCCACGTAAACCCACTTTGTTTCTTCAGTAGTGTTGCCAATGTAATGAAGCTCTCCAAAAAAATAAAAAATAAAGAAAGAAATCTGACAACAAAGACGAAAATAGCAAACCTCTTTCAACAACACCCAATAATGAAAAGAATAGTCGTCCTCCATTTTGTCTCGTTCAACCCCTGGGCCCCAGTGAGCAAACGGCGAACGACACGGCGCGATTTGTCAGGCGCTAATTAAAATCCCAGCCGTCACGGGAATAAACAGGCTGTTTCAAATCAAGTTCCTTGGTGTGTTTGCACACGGCCCAGCCGAGCTCTCTCGCTAAAGATCTATTCTTGAGAGCTGCCACAATATGTCGAAAATGAATTGCCTTTTACATGCAGCAACATGCTAAAAAGCGCACCAATTTTGGTGTGTCTGTCATTGGGAACATTTTAGGAGTCCTGTCCACCACCATTCAGAAATCATCCCATTAATTCTTTTTTTTTTATAAGCTACAAATGTCAATTTTAATATAACCATGAATTCCCTCCTGACGGATTCATCGTTCAATGGGGATGGGCTTATTAGCCGATCCGCAGGAGGCGGCTTCTTCTTGATAAGCCTTCTATAGCTCCTTGAAAGAGATCCGCTCCGTAAGCGTGAACATCGATTGCCCCTGACCGAGAGGAAAACGCCGTTTAATCCAACTGATCGGCACGATTGATGCGCCACCGACATCTGCGCTGGCCAAAAAAAACATTTGAACCTCACTCAAGTACACTGAAAAGCGTGTGGGTGTCTGTTGTGCGTGTGTGGGTGTCGGGAGGGCCATCGGCGGGTGGCGCCACCCGCAGGGTTAGCATCCCATGGAAAGCATTCAGCGCTCGTTATCAGCTGGAGCCAGCGTGGCCTCCGTTAGCAAGCATACTGATAAAGTGCTCTCAAAGTTCAGTGCACATTGACTGGCCATTGTGGCACATGTCAGCCGCTCACTGTCGCCCGTTAATACCGCTACAGTCTTAAAAGTCATGGGATACTCATTTTAGTCAATTCATGAATCAATCCGTTTGTGTAATAGACCCATGAAGTTGTCCGATATTTTTGGACCATTACATTTGGCTCACTCACTGTCCATGTTGCTAGTCAGCTAAACAGAATTCATTTGAGCAAAGTTGGACGTGTCGAGTCAACCTCCTTTTACTTCAAGCTGGTAATGTGTCACCTGCAGTTCACTATAAAACTGTAAAAACAAAAGAAGTCTATATTTAAACACCAAATTATTCCACCACACCATCAAATTGTGTCTTTCAAAAGTCAGCTAGCTTAACGCTAGCATATGATGCGAAACATCCGAAACAGGCTTCGTGAAAGGAGATTAAAAATGTTTCCGTAATTACAATTGTACCGACTACAGTATATGAATTGCAAAATCTGCAATGTTTACATGTTGGATGTATTTTACCAAAGACAAAACGAAACCATATAGATGCTAAAGCTGTGCGGCTGTCCACACTCCGCTGAATCTGTTAAAGTTCAACAACTTTGCTCCAAAGTTTACAACTATTAACGGTAAAATGATCTGGTTAACCAAAATGGTACCTGTGTAAGAACTTATCCCGTAAACCAACAAGGTTAGACTTAACAAATATGCAGAATCTCCCATGACACGGGCCCAAAGTTTGCTGGATTTAGCAACAGTCTCTAATTTAGCAAAAGGAGGCTTGTGGGCAGGCCCGTTTCTGTTCCAGCTTGAGTGTTTAATTGTGTTTTCGGTTGGTGTAGACAAATGTAATGAAGTTAGACAGTTTCCTGTCGCTCTTCATCTTCCTCTCAGTAGCTTGTGTGTAAAAAAAAAAAAAAATGTCACTTTATTTGACTGATGTGCTCCTCGCAGCTCGGCTCAAAGGCTGAAGCAATCATTGCTAAGCTCTTGGGTTCTCAGCGTTTGATTAATAGGCCTTAGACACTGAGTGGGTCCATTAGCGCGGCCGAGTAGGCTCGTGTCAGAACCTCGGCTGACCCACTTCAGCGCCTCGATTTTCCGTCCCACATGCCATTGACAGATTGCATTAACATTTTTAACAAGGTGTGAATACAAAAAGTTGCGTATGCTGTCCAATTTTTAGTTTTACAGTGGAAAGTGTTGTTCAAAATGTATTGTCATTTGCTAAGTGTAAATTAAGAAAAAAAAACGTTTTGGATGGAGTTTTTTCTTTAGTTTTTGACACTCGACTCGAGAACATGATTGCTTTTCTCGCGAACCGAACATAACAGGAATGTTGAATCGTCCCTTCCCTTTTTTTTTTTTTTCTCCCTTTCTGGACTACGTCTGATGTTGCTGCCTGTTTTTTTTTTTTGTTGTTCTTTCACCATCTCAGTTGCACCTTTTCATCTATTAACAGACAAACCGCGCGAAATGTTCACAAGCCACATGTTGACAAAGCTGAAGTGGCATCCGTCCACTTTCAAGCGCGGTAAGGCGGCCTCGTGCGGGCTGCAGGCTCAAATCCCTCGACGGCTGCCACGATTTAAAGTCTCTAATTAAGTGGCTAACTGTGAATCCATCGCCATGCTCCTTCCTCACCCCAAGCAGAAGGAGGAGGGTTGCCATAGATTTAACGCCAGCATAGAAAAGAGCGATGGAGAGAATAAAAGTGGAAGTGAGAGGGAGGAGGGGGGGGGGTCTATCTGGGCCAACAAACACTTCATCTCTGAGCGGGAGCGCCTTCCAGAGGAGCGACAGACGTGTGCTAATTTATGGAGATGGGACGTTGGCCGCTCTGTTTTTCCAGGTTAGCGAGCCGCAGTGGGTGCCCCTCGGCAATAAGAGACGGGCCGTGATTGGTCATTTTATCAGCTAGTGTGGGGCACCCGCATCAGTGTGCGAGATCCGCCGGAAGGACGAGCTGACGTATGCGAAGGACAAACAAGACACTTGAAAAAAAAAAGAAAGGGGGGAAAAAAAGAAATGCTTTGACGCTGAAGTCTTCTCTCGATACGAAGCAGAGCAATGAAACAGATATTTTGCAGAACCATCTTCAATATAGAGAGAGAGAGCAACAAAAAAAGGCACTTAAAATGACCTATAAAATTTTTTTTTAATTGAACATGAAATATTTAAACAGCAAAATGTGATGAGCTCAAACACAAAAGCGGACAGCTCCACTTTGGGGGGGTGATTTGAAAAAATTAGTTTTCTTTTTATGGTTCCAGGTTAAAAGCTAATCATTTTTATTTAGGATATTCCAAGTTATCAAGCAATTCGGAGGCTAATTTGAAATAAAATCTAACTTTGTCTGTCAAGGGTCTTTAATGTCCATGAAAATAATTTTGTTGAAAAATAGTCAAGTCGAAGCTCTTCAAATATCTTGTTTTATAATTTGAGGTGTCACACATACCACAAAAAAAAAAAATAAAATCTCGACGTCAAGTTCACTATTCTGTTTAATGTGTTTCTTTTCGCAATAAGCTTTTTTTGTCTGCTTTTTGGTCCGAAACCGTTTTTTTTTTGTCCATTTTGTTGAAGTGGTAGGTACGCTGCTTGTCATCTCAGACCACAAAATCGTGTGGGTCTTGAAAGATCCAAATGCTCGCCTGAATGATGTCAACATGGCAAACTCTTCTCTGAAAACGGCTGGCAATGAATGAGTTCACCTACTGCCCCCCCCCCACCCCCTTCTCCACGGCTCACACATTTCAGACCAACTAAAAGCTGACACCAGCTGACTAATGCAAACCGTTTCTCTCTTCCAATGAACTTTTAAGCCCAAAAGTTACATTTTAAAGCCTTTTTAAAGCAAGCCGGATTTCTTGATCGACAGTTTGGTGGCCTCTGGGCATGTTTTCCCCCCCTCTCGCTTTTCTATATACAAACGCTAGAGCTACCAGATGTTAAGTTGTTCTCCACGTTAAAAAAAAAAGCATCAAAGGGGAACCTGTGTGAGGAAGATAACAAGCTCGTTTAGTCTTTAAGTTTTTCTGCAGCAGTGGTAGAAATATTTGATCTGGTCCTTGTCAAAGAAAGTCTTTCCTTAAGCACTTTTACACACTTCAAATGTTTTGACAGCTGCCTCTTAATTAGCTCCCACGTCGTCTTAAAAGCTTCCCGCATTGTTCCCAATGCCGCGGCTGTGTCTGGCTGTTCACTTCTCCTTTCACGCCGCCTCTTAAAATCCTTCCAATTTTTTTTCCCGTCGTCATTTTGTGTGAAAGGCACCGACACGGAACGAGAGGTCCAAGTTGACCACGTGAGCTTTTATTTTCCAAGCATCAAATTGTGACAACAGACACTGTCGATTTTTTTTTTTTTTGGGGTCATTATAGATAATGTGAAAATTCACTAAGCAGCTCCTGTTGATTAAAAAGTGTCTGCCTGATTGTGCGCTTTGCTATTCACAAATTCATCTATTTATCTTTTTCTTTGTTGGCCTTTTGCTGAAAAAAAAAACCCAGACGGATTTGTGCACATTTTCTGCGCCTTCTGTACCGCCTTTGGAAAGTAATAATTGTTGAGCAAATCGCCGTGGCAACTTGTCTAGTTGAATCTTAAAGTGATTGGCTATTTTCATCGTGAGTGGCTATTTTCGTCGATAAACAACTTAAGTTTCGCACTCTCTGACCCACACACGTGTCCCTTTATTGGCCGTACATTTCGCTGCTCAACAGTAAAGTTGACTCTTGGGTTCCACTCCCCGAATGTATTGATCGGGAGGATGAGCCAGGACATCTGAAAATCAACTCGTTTCCATTTTTTGTGTGTCTGCGCAGCGGAATCGGTCGCAACTGGCCGTGGGCGTCGGGCGGCAGCAGCATCCTGGCCGAGTACGGAACGCTGCATCTGGAGTTCATGCACCTCAGCAAACTGTCGGGAAACCCGGAATTTGCCCAAAAGGTATGAGGTCTTCCAATTCCCCGAGACACAACAGTTTTTAGTGCTGTCAAACGATTAAAATATTTAATCGCGATCAAATGTATAATTTCGTAGTTAACTCGGAATTAGCCATAATTAATCACAAATTTTGATCTATTCTAAATTTCCTTTGATTTCTTTTTCTTCTATTTTTCCCATTTTAATGCTCTCATCAACATGGAATCGTGGATCCGTTTTCTTTGTGCAAAATGCAAATACTGAAACAGCAATTTCGATTTTCAAATTTACATTAACATTTTTCACTCAGCAGTTATTCAAAGTTGGAGCACATTTTATTATTTTAGAGCAACGTAACATCCGCTGTGACGTGGTGCCGCATTAATCGCGCGATAAAAAAATTAATCGAGTTAAATTTGTTTTAAATTAATGCTGATAATAACGCGTTAAACTGACAGCACTAGTTTTTTTATTTTCTTTGGAAACCTTACTTGGAATCGCTTTAAATATTTTGTGTAATTATTTCCTGTAGTATATTAAAAAAAAATGTGAAGTGGAAATTTCTTGACGGTTTTTCCTCCTAGGTGATGAACATCCGCAAAGTTCTCAATCGCTTGGATAAACCTCAGGGACTGTATCCCAATTACCTGAACCCAAACAGCGGCCAGTGGGGTCAACGTAAGTACTTACAAAAGTGCTTGTTTTATTTCGGGGGGGGGGGGTTGCTGGAGTGGATTAATGGCATTTCCATTGTCCTGAGTGTCATTGCCGATGTTTACGCTGCACATTTAGAGAGACATAAGAGCCAATGTCGAGTCAGTACATTTAATGTTGGATTGCTTTCAGGGGCTCCATTTTGGGTCCATCATCATAATCCTCCTGATCCTCCTCATCAATACTTGAAAAGACTGTTTTGTTTTTGGTTTTTTGTTTTTAATCGAGTGAAACTCGCTCTAGAAAACGCTCCGACTTATTTCAGCGTCTCCAAGTTGAAAAGAAAAAGCAATTTTTCTCGCTTAATTATTCATAGAGACGCAAGCTCTCGTTTTATACACAGCGGCCTTGCATCAAATAAGAATATTTGTTTCATCCTTTTTTTTTTAATGTTGACTTACTTTTTGTTGCTTTTACTTGATGATGCTTTAAATGTGGTCCCGCACCTCTTTAGCTTGCGTTAAAATCTTCATCCCAAGTGCGTTGTTGTCATAATTAGCATTTAGCCGAGTATTTATACAAATAGAATCAACATTATTTTTTATTTTATTTTATTTTTTTGTACACTGACTTCAGACAGCAACTTTCAACCTCAACAAAAAAAACTGCTTTAATGCTTCTTTGGCTCCAGAAAGTCATTACGTAATTACCATGAAATGCATTTGCTGCATAATTTATGACCTTGGGGTGTTTGCAACCCCCCCCCCCCCACTCCCCCCAAAAAAGTTGAAAAATCCTCCACTGGATTTTCATGAGCCGATCATCTGCTGCGTCGCAGCTGCAGCTGTCGCCTTGAAAGAGTATCTTTCGTCTTTGGTTTGTCAAATGATTTCCATCATGCTCTATTTAGAGCATCTGTCACTCTCTCCGTGTGTTTTAACGGCACACCATAGCTGAAAATGCCCTTTATTTTATTTGGGGAGGGGGCCATTAGACGATCGCTAACGATGCTAATAATCGGCACAACAATGAATCGCGAAGTTATTTCATGACTCCACCCAATTTGGTGATTGTCCTTTTTGTATTTGTCGTTTTTGCAGATTTTTATTTGATTTTATTTCGAGTTATCTTAAAATGTCGGATATTTTGCTGTTTTCGAGATAAGGGAAGAACAGTCTTAACTTGGACTTGATTTTGTTAGATGCTAACCACATACATTATATTTATTCTTATAGGGCTTTTTCCTTGTGAGATGAATCAAAATGTCCTTTTCTTTTGTTTCCTCATCATCATCATCATGTCACTCGCTGACACCTCCTCTCCCGCCAAACACACGCACACACACGCACACAGTTGACATGGCTTTCAACACAACAGAGGTGGCGCGTGATGGAGCTCCACTGTCAGTCTAATCTGAGAGCTGGCGAAGAGGATGATGATGATGATGATGATGGAGGAAGAGGTTAATCTGGACGCTTGTATTGCAGATCATGTGTCTGTGGGCGGACTGGGCGACAGCTTTTACGAGTACCTGCTCAAAGCCTGGCTCATGTCTGACAAAACGGACGATGAGGCCAAGAAGATGTATTATGACGCCCTGCAGGTAACGCGCGCGCGCGCGCACACACACACACACACACACACACACACACACACACACACACACACACACACACAAACCAAACACTCGCTCACACACAAACCAAACACTCGCTCACACACAGACATGTTTCTTGTGTATAGTTTCACATTTTTCGACTTTGTGTGGAATCCTAATGTCCACTAAGCCTGGCCCTGGTGCAAAACATCCAGTTGGGAAGACACGCCCTCACACACGCGTCACTCCCTCTTACTTTCTTCACACACTCCGTGCGGCTGAGTGATTGTGAGTTACTTTAGTCCTGATGTCGCCTCGGTCCATGCGGTGATGCATTGTGGGAGTCGGAGCAGATGGCGGGATGCTTACGTAGCGTAGCCTAGCGCATCTGAACCCACCCCGCACAAGCCCGATCAGACTCATCTGCTCACACTCAAACGTGCACGTTGTCATCGCGGCATCTTGAACGCAACATTAATCTTGAGGAGATACTTTACCCGTAATCCCCCTTGATCCCATGGATTAAAAGTGATTTATTTGTTGAGAGGAGACGCCACAAAGTGGATCAGGCGTCTTTCTTGAATTGGCTCTTCTTAAAGGGCCAGTGCACACACAGTCGTAAACTTGGTCGGTTTTCTGAATCACTTCTTCAAACCAAAACGTCCTGTATCTTTTTTTTTTTTGGCATGGCTGCTGCTTACTTTTTTTGTGGGTCTGCTCATGATTGAAATGTCTCCCAAATATCATACTGCAAAGTGAAACTGGCTTGATCGGCTGAATTGTACAACTCAATTTATGCAAGTTTAAGGTGAATGACAAAAACTGGCCTTCCCCATCCGTCTAGAATATGAATTTAGAAATTAGAAAAAAAAATCTTGCAAATTTTCTAAATTCCTTCTTTGCAGGCCATCGAGAGCAGCCTAATGAGGAAGTCGAGCGGAGGCTTGACGTACATCGCCGAGTGGAAGGGGGGCCTTCTGGAACATAAGATGGGTCACCTGACTTGTTTCGCCGGCGGCATGGTGGCGCTCGGTGCCGACGGGGCGCCCGACGACAAGACAGGCCACCAGATGGAGCAAGCGGCCGAGATCGCCAGAACCTGTCACGAGTCCTACTCCAGAACCGGTAATAGAGAACCAACCACTTCATGTCCAAGAGTGACATTTCCATCCTCAAGGTTCTATGATTTGTTTTTGTTTTTTTTAAGCTTTGAAGCTGGGCCCAGAGGCGTTCCGTTTCGATGGCGGCGTGGAGGCCATCGCCACGCGCCAAAATGAGAAGTACTTCATCCTGCGGCCCGAAGTCATCGAGACCTACATGTACATGTGGAGGTTCACCCACGACCCAAAGTACAGGGAGTGGGGCTGGGAAGCCGTCATGGTAATGGAACTTTTGCATCAATACCATTCTCACAGGAAGAATAAAAATCCCGCAAGTAGTGACTAGGGCTTTTTGAAAATAAATAAATTAAAAAAAAAAAAAAAAACAAGATCACACATTCGCATGTTTCTCATGTTAGAGGTTTCGGAGAGAAAGTCAGAGAGGCCAGACTATGATGGTTTGGACATGTCCAGAGGAGAGAGAGTGAATATATTGGGAGAAGGATGCTGAGTCTTAACCCTAACCCTAACTGCCAGGCAGGAGGCCAAGAGGAAGACCGAAGAGGAAGTACATATATGGATGTAGTGAAAGAGGACACGAAGGTAGCTGGGGTGAGAGAAGAGGGTGAACAAAACAGAGTTAGATGGAAGCAACTGATTCGCTGTGGCGACCCTGAAAGGTGAAAAGCCAAAAGGAAAAGAAGACACGGTTTTGTTCATCATAATTCAGTGGGCATTGTGCTACCTCCAGCTGGTGTGCACACCTTTGCCACCAGGGGGCAGTGTAATACCTAGCCAACTTTCAACAACAAAAAAAAGCCTGGATTTGAACCCTCAACCTCTGAACTGTGATACTGATGTGCTAATGACTACACAAGCTTCTTTAAAAACAAATACAAATTCTCACATGCCCCGATAGTGACCTTTGAACCCGCTGTCCCACAGGCTTTGGAGCAGCACTGTAAGGTCGAGGGAGGCTACAGCGGCATCCGAGACGTCTACGGGTCCACGCCGAACCACGACGACGTGCAGCAGAGCTTCTTCCTGGCTGAGACGCTCAAGTAAGACGCAGAAGAAAACAAGCATTTGTTTCTTTTTTTTTTTCGCAATTAGAAGCCATAGAATCCTCCAAAACGTCCGAAATGGTTATATTAAATAAGTGATCCAAAATGGGACATCAAAAAAACCTGAAAGTGACATTGCCCTAAAAGTGTTAAATATTGCAATGGCTCGCAAGATGAGCCCATATCTCAAATTTAACAAAGGTGACCAGGAACATTCGATACTCTTCTTGGTCTGTCCTTTGTGTTTTATTTTTACACATTTGTAACATTCTTAAAGTAGCGAGAGAACAAATATTACGCCATTTAATTTTGGGGGATCCATGCAGCATTTTTTTGGCGGGGTGGAGCAATGAAGTGTGAAAATAGCTTAAATATATTTGAGTACTGTATGGATATTGTGACAGTTAAAAATGACTTTGATGAGATACATGCTTAACAATCGTTACACATCCATAACCGGTTATGCTGACGCTGCTTCCCCAGGTATCTGTATTTGCTATTCTCCGACGACGGCCAAGTCTCTTTGGAGCACTGGGTGTTCAACACGGAGGCTCACCCCTTGCCCGTCATTAGGAAGGAGCCACCAGAGCAGACCAACGAGGTGGAGTAGCAACGACTTTGGGGAACCTTGTACAACCCCTCTAAGGTTTGAATTTCTGCCGTCTGGAAGATGACTTTTTTTGACACTTCATTTAACTGGATCGGAGCAGACTCTCGTCTTTTGCGTCTTCTCTTGGGTGTTTTTTTTTTTTTTTTTAAATACTCAGATGTGGTCCTGTTGTTTTTCCTGGCTTCCACGATGACCTTTTACATAGAGCGTTGAAAGGCCAGGATTTTTTTCGGACACCGTTTTAAGTGTGACGAAGATGGACGACATCCCTGTGCCACGTCGTCATTGACAGGAAAAGACTAATTTGGCCTTCAAGAGACAGAGACAAGATGTTTCCACTCGCTACTCAGTGGCATCACTTTCTGTGATCGTGTTTACAAGACGCAGTCGTCATCGTTTCAGCTTTTGTGTGTTTGAAAGCTTTGACTTCATCAGTTTCGATCCAACAGTGTAGCATTGGAAGGCACTTCAAAAGCTGAAAGAAAAACTTTGGAGGGTGGGTGGGGCGGGGGGTCTTTTTGTCCTCACACGAAAGCATGTCGATGAAATAATCGCACATCAGAACAGCTCTCACCCAGACCTTTAATTCGAGATATGACTTGATGCTAACAATGTAGCTTTGTGAGGCTAGTACTAGCACAGCATGAGGTTTGCCTCCAAACATTCTGCCTTTACAAGGGATACAAATGCCATTTTCTTTTGGGATTGTCAAGGGTTTGATAAAACTCACATTTAGTGAAAGAGAGGCCCTAAAATGAGCTTCCACCACGAACATGTTTGTAAAGGCAGAACTATTTTACTGGGACCTTTTGAGCAGCTGTTCCTACTGTTATGACCACACGTGGAGGTGACCGCTCGAGAAGACGTCGACTAGTCTTTGGACCTCTGTTGTTGTTTTTTATCACGTTCCATTGTTTTTTTGTTTTTTTTTAAGTGGGAAGCAAGCAGCTAACCGTCCAAATTGTTGATTTTGATGTTTTTCTTCAGCTACAGCATGAGAAAGGCTGTCGTCCCCCGTTCAAGTCATCGTCGCGTCGTTCTAGTTGTCGGCGGCGACTCTGTGCTTTTTGATGGATGCTTGTTGGGTCGGGAACCCGTGTCCCCGTAACCCCTCGCTCAAAAGCCACTCTTCATCTTGTGCCTTCGCTCCCAGGCTGCTCGCACAAACGAAACCAGGCGAGAAGAATGAACAACGTAGCTTTAAGATTGACAGGGGGCAGTGAGCTGGTGTTTATCGCGTTGAATACGGTATGTTCCAGACCCACGAACAGTTCAAGGCTGCAACATAGAGACCATATCATTAAAAAAAAAAAAAAGTTATTGTATCTAAACTTTAAACACAAAGTTTAAACAACTACCAGTTCATCTTACGCAAGTCAGCTAGCTTAATGCTAACATATTCAGTGGTGCCTTGAGATGCAAGTTGAATTTTTTTCCATGACCGTGCTTGTATATGAAAACGTCTTTCCCTATTAAATTGAAGGGAAATGCACTTCATCTATTCCAGCAACCCACCCCCAAAAGAACTCCCAAATTGTTTTTTAAAGATGTTTTATAATGATAAACATTGCGCTCAAACGTAACATTGAGTATGAAACCACAGTAAAAACATCTGCTCGCTACATAACCTTCAAACACGGAAAGTGAGCACAAAACATGGCTGTACCTAATGTTTTGTCCATGCTGTTTTTTCTTGTAGTTATTTTTATTTTTTATTGATGGGGGGGCAAAAACTGCATTAGTGCCACTAGCTGATAATCGTCCTTTGCCACGGTGGAGATCTTAAGCGCATGTGTATCTTTTTTTCTATTTCTTCTATCCCAAGACAAAGAATTGTCTAATTGACAACTCATGTCTTGGAAACTTGTAAGTCAAGGCACTCGTATCTCAGGGCAGCACTAAATGGGAAACTTAGCATAGCTATTTTGGTAATTATAACCCTTCACACAACACACGGAGCAGTAACACATGTAAGTGAAGCCCTGGAAAACTCAGAACACCCAAATAAAATGTATTAATGGCATTCGTGTTTATTTTAATAAGTTTCTGCAAATAGCTACTTTAAATGAAAGGAACTCTAAATTCAACCTTTCAAGGCCTTAAACGAGGTGGCAATGGCGAACCGCGATAGAGCTGGTTTCACTGAACCAGAACAGGCGCACTCAAAGTGATTAGTTGGTTTTTATTGCCCCCTGCTGGTGAACATAAGTATTTCCCTTCACTGGATAAACTGCTGGCTGAGTTTCCTGTACTACACTGACACCTAGTGGTGCGGCGCCTCACTTACGACTTGCTTCAGACTGTCACTTAACTGTATTGCTGGACGTATTTTGGGGGAGGGGGCTTCGGTTCCCAAATCCGCACACTCACTCTGCAGTCCGAATGAACTTCCCGATTTCATCCACTTGACGTTGGCATGTATTTTCTGTACAGCACTGACACCCAGTGGACGGATGGCTCCATAGCAGCCAATTTCAGACAGATTTGAGTAAACAGTATTCAAGGTAACATTTGTTACAGGTATGGTCTATTTTTGTTTTGATTTCCGACTCACAGTTGATTTGATCACATTGGCAGTCTTCACATTTGGTCCAGTCAACATACAACAAAGTGATCATTTGAAAGTGGACAATTAATCGAGGACAATTAATTTGTGATTGTTTTTGATTGTCATGTTTGATTGTGTTAATTTATTATTATTATTATTGTTACTGTGTACGTTTTTTTCGGGGAAAGGTGAGAGTGGCGAAGAAGAATCAAGTTGGGTGGAACAAAAACAGCAAAGAGAAAAATGACATGGCAGGACAATGTGTGTGAATGTACCAGCCAATGTGAAGTGAATTCAGTTTCACACCCTTTTTTTGTTTTTGTTTGTTCGTTTTGGGGCTTTTTCTCTGTTTTGTTATTTTAAGACTTTTTATTATTTTGGGTCATTTTTGTTGTTTCAGAAATGTGGTTCTTTTTGGTCTTTTCTGCCTTGTAACTTTTTATTTTCATGTTTTATTTTTGTCTTTAATTTTTTTTCATGTATTAGGTTATTTTTGTCCATTTTTGTGTGCGTGTGTGTGTGTGTGTGTGTGTGTGTGTGTGTGTGTGTGTGTGTGTGTGTGTGTGTCCATTTTAGTTGTATTTTGGTTTTTATGTTCCATTTTTTTGTTTGTTTTTTTTAGTCCCGTTTTTGTGTATTCTGTTTGTCCGTTGCTCAGCTTATCATTCCTCTTTGTTAATTTTTATTTCCAGCCCTTTTTATTTTGATGTTTTTTTCTACATTTTGGGGGATTCCTGTCTGTTTTTAATTTGTTTTGTTTTTACTTTTTCATTTTTTGTCATCATGGGGATAACTGATGACACTTTGTTGTCTTCCTGCTTTTATTTTTCTCTTTCTCAGGTTTCTTTCCTCAGAACTTTCTCACCCCCTCCAACCCCTTCGTAACCCAAATGTCATAAAATCATAATTTATGGCCCTATGTCCATAAAGTAACAAGAAAAAACTATTATGACAAACATGCTGGGAGAATCGACATTTTCAACTGGAATTTAGGTTTCCTTTTGTTTGATTTTGTTTGTAGCGTTGCTAACTTTACTCCAAATAAGGTTTCAAGACAGGGTTAGGGTTTCAAAGTAAGGTTTCAGGGCAGGATTGGGGTTTTAAAACTGTTTTAAATCGAAGTCTCAAAACTGGATTATGTCTTCAAATTACAGTTTTCATCATGAATTAGGGTTTCAAGACAGGCATATGTTTTCGAATTTTGGTTCCAAATAAGGATTTTTGAGCCATGTGTAAGGTTTCTAGACAGGGTTGGGTTTTAAAACTGCGATAGAATTTCAAGACCGGAAGACGGGGAAAGTGTTTTAAGACTGGGATAGGGTTTACGATTAGGGTTTCAAGACAGAAGTAAGGTTTCAATTGGGATTTTGTCCAAGACAGGAGAAAATTTGTGTGTGTTTCCAGTTGCTAATTTCACCATGCGATTTTCAACATTTGAAGTCATTAGAATTGTTTGTCACATAACGTTGGAATTTGTTCACGTTGACTTGCGTCATCGGCAAAATGAGGAAACCTTCAGCATTTTTGTTTGCGGGTGGCGTGAAACAAATGACGTTTGACTTTTTATGCTCTAAACGATAAAATCAAGTTTACAATTAAGTGATCGAGACAAATGTGCACTTTTAGATTTTTTCGGAAAAGGCGCGTCCAAAATATTTGACGTCTTTTGTTTAAATTGTGTTCGACGAGCGACTCGTATCGTGTTTAATATTCGGAATCTGTGACAGCAATCTCGGGATGTGAACATTAGCAGAGAATCATTCTATTTTTTGGGGGGTGTGTTGATGCAATATTTTCATTTGTTGATTTATTTCGTATGTTTGATTTAGTGGCGCGCTGGCACTCGTATATACTGGACAGTACGAGGCTCACAATGTTTTGAATCAATTCGATAATTTCGAGAATCACTGGCTTCATTTGAGGAGCAAATTTCTAAATTTGAGGAGTATATATATATATTTTTTTTTTTTGGTGGGGGGGCGCAATTCCTGTTTTTCATGGTCGTTAATAACGTAGTTTCCAATATTTGTGTGACCGATCGCGAGCTGGCCGAGTCCCACTTCCGCGCGAATGACGAGGTTTTTCTGTGCTCATTTGTGTAATGTGACCTTCTCACCACCCGGTGGCAGTAGGGGAGCGCAAGATGAGGAACCACAAGGTTTTCTTTTTTTGTTCACTTTCGTTCTTTGCAGATTTTGTGAACTGGTTTGCCCATTAGGGTTTCAAGACAGCGGGACGGTCTTTAAAAACAGGGTTAAGGTTTAAAACCTCTGTTAAAGTTTCAAGACGGGGAATTTAGGGTTTTAAATGTACGGTTGCAAGACATGGTTTGGGTTTCAATACGGCGAATTTAGGGGTTTAAACCGAAATTTAGGGTTCCCGTTATGGTTGGGGTTTAAACTTTGAGACTGTGTTCGGGTTTCAAGCAAGGGTTCAACTTTCAAATTAGGGTAAATGAGAGGTGGGCTTCTACATGTAGGGTTTCACACCTTGTTCCAAAACGGTAAGTTTCGGGTTTTGTTGGCATATGCATGAAGAAGCAGATGTACACTTTTATTTTTTTCCTGTTCATTAGCCCTGACCTGAAATTCATGTGGCCGTCAAAATTAGAAATTTCAAAACATCGCTTGAAAAAGTTGTAGCATCAGTCTTGTTGCGTACTTTTTGTTTGTTTGTTTGTTTGTTTATCCAACATTCTAACACGCTGACATGACTTTTGTTTTCTGCATGCCAGACGGACCCATGCACGTAGCGACTTAGTGAAATATTCCATTTGAAGCCGAAAAGTATTTTTGTTGTCTGTCGGCATTTTTATTGGCAAAATATCCCATTTACAAAGGTCCCCTGTTGTTCGCAGTCGGGGACATGGACTCGGCAAAAAATTGTGTATGATTGACGGCCAGTATAAATGTATTTGAAGGGGATGTCATGAAGACATTCACTACGAGGTGGGGAGGATAAAGAATACATACCTGTGAGTGTTGTCATGTTGCCTTTCTAAATGTGTTCAATTAGCCGTTGTATTAATGGACCGAAATACATTAGCGGCTGAGACTGAGCAAAAATTCAAATTGACTGGAAGTGGCGTTACTGATTCTAATGCTAACATTTTTGGTGCCTTTTTTCCCCTGACAAGAAATGAGTTTCAAAGAGAGAGGCTGCAACATCAACAGGAGCGAGCATCTCCCAGCATGCTTCACGGCGTCAGAGCTTGATTTATTCGCTGATAGGTAGCGACATCACCGCATTTCCCTTGGCGACACACACACACACACACACACAATTGTAACAAGCGCTGTGTTGTGACAGGCACGCCATCAGGCAACAAAAAGTGAGCGATGTCGTTACGATGCACGCCATGTGAAGACCTAACACCTTCTCCTTCGGGTTCTTCTGTTAGTTCTTCAGTTGTGACACGCTCCCGCGCTGTTTATGAATAAGCAGTGAGATCTTCCCTCTGATGATCTTTTGAGAAAAGGTCTGATATTTCTGGACCAGAAAGTCTGTGTGCTAAGTAAAGTAATGGCGTGCTTGTCTTGAAAATGTTTTATGTGCTTCTGGGATGTGACATGGATGTTGATGCATTTTGCTGCACCTTGGTCCTGTCGATGACAAACTTTTAAAACGTGACAGTGGGGAAAGACGTGCCCGAAAAAACAAAACAAAACAAAAAAAAAAAAACATTTAAATGCATTGCGTTTAGAATAAAAGGAATAAATAATTGAAATATTGAATACATTCTAAACGTATTTAACCAAACAAAAAAAAAAACAATTTAAATGCATTGCGTTTAGAATAAAAAGAATAAGTAATTGAAATATTGAATACATTCTAAACGTTTTTTAAAATGTAAGCTGGTAATTGTTTTAATGAGTTAACAAAAGGCGGGAAAACATATTGTATGGTCTTTCTAGCTACTGTTTTATTTTGCTCATCAATAAAATAATTTACTTCTCTAAAAATGTTATCGTCATCACCAATATGGCTCGTTTGTGCTTGGGGAGGAGTTTCGGTTCCATTGACACTCATTTGTGTAATTGTCCGTGAACGCATCGCCGCTTGTCCCACTGCCCCTGAACGCAGTACAGACTGTTGAGGTGATCCATGGCAACAGGGGCGCACCAGCAGCCGAGCTCCGGAGGCTGACGGGGAAGCTGAGGTTGCGGGTGGGCTGCCGCTGCGTCCGTTCGTCCCTCCGGCGTACACGTCTCCGACCCGCCAGTCTCGCGCGTGCCCAAACGCACCTCCATGTAACCGCGGAGCAGTGAGGGGAGGACCAATCCGGCGCGACGGCTCCTCATTTGGGCTCCAAGGTGACCGACCGGGGAGGTGGGGAGCCAGACGGCAGCCTGACTTGCGCTGCACGTCAGCGGCAGGTGAAGCCGGCCGTACCCCGACCTCGGGGCGCTCGCGGCGGCGTCGTTCATGATGCCCGCCACTGACATCTCCGGAGCTTAAAATTCTGCTCGTCACTT